ATTACTTTTGGGGGAACCTTTACATGAGACCTTGCATTTAAATGGCGTAATCCCCACAAAACAAAATGCCAGGTAAGAATGCATATTTTAACAATGTAATGCGACTTATACTGAAAACAAAATGGGGCCACTCGACGTATGGGTCAATGCCATGCTTGAAATTGAATCATTTGGACAGCAAATGTTCTAAACATGTCCCTAAACATATTTATTTACAACTATTTAATGGAGGAACCCGTAAACAAACCATATCTTAGTCCAACGATTATCACCGCGTAGGTTTTTAGCCTGTAGGTCGTTGGTTTCATTTCATGAAGGGATACACACATGGCCTAAGCAGAGAAGAATTGTGGCCAATACGAACAGCCTACACTCTGTGAGTCTGACTAACTAAACCTCAAATCTCTCCTCAGTCTTAAAGTGCTCACCCAGTTGCATCATGGGACAGGCGGCAGCACCTCCTCTCCAACAGCAAATGGATTCATCACCAAGGAGATGTTTGGAGCCCATGTTCCATCCAAAATGACACCAGTGAAGACACGAAGAGACGGTGGGTCACATGTACTGTAGGTGATGACGGTTGGTGTTAAAGCAGATGTTGAGGTAAAGCAACATTTGATTATGGTGTGTGAATGTGTGTTTTCAGCAGACAGAGGGTCATCCAGCAGCAGATCTGGTGACAGACAGGAAGTGTCTCGTCCAGACCCGTTCCTGTCCGTCAGACCTGCACACCTGCAGCACAGAGGTCAGTCTGCAGCGCTGCTTGATGAGTCATTGAAAATACCTTTTAGATTAACACAGGTTCCCCAACAGGTTTCTATTTGTTGAACCAGTCTACCTAAAACAGGGAAGTGATAATAGGAAGGGGTGCACATAACTGGTACGCATGCGCGGCAAACATCTGAAATGCGTAACGTCACTTTGTTTTACTAAGCGCCTTTGCGTCTGTTAACGTTGGTGTGTAGTGAACAACAGAATTGTGCCAAAACTCCGCCAACTGGCTGCGGACGGAGACTCCCCTGTGCACATTGTGTGATCCGCACACACACTGGAGAACTGCGCAAAATCAGCTGATCTTCACGTTCTGTAGTCAAGCTGCTGCAGTTTTATTTACAACAAGGTGGAGAAAAACACACAGCTGCAAACTTACTCAGGGTGTTAATGGAAGAGTTTGAAATCAGACAGAGGTGGAAGAAGTACTCTGATCCTGTGTAGGAATACTCTGTTACAGTAAAAGTCCTGCATTCAAAATGTTACTCAAGTAAAAGTATTATCATCAAAATATAGTTAAAGTAACAAAAGTAAAAGTAGTGATTGTTTGATTGGTCCATTTCAGAATAATATATATGATATGTTTTATAATGATGGATCATGAAAGTGTTCTCAAAGCTGGTAAAGGTGCAGCTAGTTTGAATAATAATAATGCATTTTATTTATAGAGTATAGCGCTTTTCACAACTCAAAGACGCTTTACAGTATGAGGGAGGGTAGACAAATAAGGACAGGCAAACAAGTAAGTAAAGTAAAATACAAAATAAATAAAAAGGCAGTCAAGAGGAAGTTGATTGAGAGGCTTATGGGTAGACAGAGTTGAAAAGATGTGTTTTGAGGCGGGACTGAAAGACTGTGAGGGACTCAGTCATGAAGAATGGCTTTGTATACTGCAGGGTAGCTTGAGGATTTACTCCAGGTGGAACTAAAGTCTCATTTAACACTTGATTAGATTTCACATCATTCATCCACATCTGTAAAGTAACTAAAGGTATAACATATATGTAGTGGTCTAAAAGTACACTATTTACCTCTGAACTGTAGTGGAGTAGAAGTAAAAGTATCTCAAAATTGTACTTAAGTACAGTACTTGAAGAAGTGTACTTAGTTACTTCCCACTTCTGAAATGAGATCTGACTTCAAGTCATGTGAGAATTTCTTAGTATTTGATCCTTCAACTTGGCCTCAGGAAATGCAAGGACTTTTTTGTTTTGGAGAAAGCAAATCTGAGGCTTAAACAGAGACAGGGAGTTGCATCTGCCGCATCTTCGTCATCTAGCATGCAAGAAGTGTGAATAGAGGACAGTGAGGAAGACTGCACTTATTAAAACCACGCTTCATGTGGGGTGAGTACCAATCACTGTCTCCTGGTGCTCATCTGAGTAACTCACTAAAAAAGTGATAATAGGTCAGGTTTTCCTAAGAGCTACTTTAAAGGGTCATTCCTCTTTTTGTTAAGACTGAAAGTCAGTAGTTAAAGCTTGTGTGTGTGTTTTATTGTGTGCTGTCCTCCAGGAGGTGTCCTGCTGGGGTTGTTGCTGCAGCAGCCTCTCTCTCCCAGCAGCCTCGGCCTGTCTCACCTGCTGTCTATGAGTCTGCCTGACATCCACCTGACATCCAGGTAAACACCCGGCACCTGTTACCATGACAATGTGGGCACTATTGCAGTGTAATATGTAAAACAGAGCACTGTAGGAATTACAGGAAGGTATTTGCTGGAGTATTAAAAACAAAAAAATACGTGTTCAATGTCTGTAGTGGCAAAATAAATGTGGGTCAGGTAGTGAAAAAACTACCAAAATGCCTCTCGAGCAAGGCATTTGACCCCCAGCTACATTTGAGCCACACGCAGGTAGGGCTGCCCCCGATTAGTCGACTAAACGTTAGTCGGCAAAAAAAGTATTTGTCGACACATTTTTCATTGGTCAATTAGTTAAAAAAAAGGTGCATGTGCTATGACGCGTCAGCCGGAACCCCCTCAGACTTCCTTCAGAGCTGTGCCTGGTCATTAAGTTAATTTGGTCTGGCAGGAAATCTAAAGTGTGGATCCTTCTGAGCGAGTAAAGGACGAGTCCCACAAGGGGACATGCAGACTACGACGGCAAAAAGTATCGTCCATACCCACCATCAGAGCGCAGCTTCCTGACTGCCGGCTTCATAACAAAACACGGAGCTTAATTATCCCAACAGTCATGTGTTACTTTCTCTCTCGGAGGAAAACAGCAGCAGTGAGTCAGGCAGCAGCCTATCTTTGTATGTCAACATAATATATAGACCTATAATATATAATCATTCTGATGAATAGGTGCGGAGGGATTTTTGTCGACGCTCATATTTTCAGTGTTTCCGTTTCCTCTGTAGTATTTATTGGGTTGTTTATATTCAGATATGAATAAAAGAAACTAGAACTAAATGTTCCGTGTGTCCTCGCTGCTAGTTCACACACACAATAAGAATCCTACACCGCTGCGTCCGTGCGCTGTGACTCTCATGCGCTCTCAACATTTCATTTATATTTCAAAGGTTAATTATTACAGTTTTATTCTAGATTTCATGTGAAGCACAACGTACCATGCTGTTAAACGCTCTTTATCAGCCTTTGAAACTGAAACCATTTTGGGAGGAAAAGAAAAATATATATTTATAATAATATATCATAAACGTGCAACAATTAGTCGGCTAATCGTCTTAATTGACGACTATTGGTCGACTAGAAACATCTTTAGTCGAGGGCAGCCCTACACGCGGGAGACAAAACAGAATAAAGGCTCATGAAAAGTCTCTCGGGTTTAATAAAGTTAAAAAGTGCTTTGAAATGTAAAAACGCACCTTCATATATGACAATAAAAACACAATCTTTTGGTGTCATAATCGCCTCCTCATTTTATGTATTTTATAAATGCGTTTTTTAAGTACCTTAATCCAATCCCCTCAACTGCCACTTGGGAGCGCCGAATCCACTGCAATTCAAATCTTCAGACCCAAAACTTTAACATAAATAACTTTCATTTTTTTTAAGAATGTGTGGTTGTAGGACTATGAGTAGTTGCAACTCCAGCACAAAGGCACATAACTGTTTAAAAATACTAACTAATGTGCTGTGTTGTGATTTCAGTGGGCTGTCTTCAGGTTTTCTGCTCCACTCTGCTCCTGCAGCCAGCATTAATGTTGGTGTAGGTGTAGCTCCCAGAGCTGCTCTGAGCCCGGTCCAGAGTCTGGCTGTAACGGGACTCAACATGCTGAGCCAGAACCGACCGGCAGCTGCAGCGAGCAGCGGGAACAAAAGGTAGACTGACTGAGACACTAAAGCTGCTCTGATCAACTGCACTACCTTCTCACTGAAGAATCCACGACAAGTAAAGATAAACATTTCTGTGGACAACAGCACCCTCTTGTGGCCAAACGTAACAGCAGCACTGAAATCACATTAGTTGACACCTTTTAGTTTATGTAGATCAGCGGTTTTCAAAGTGTGAGGCGCGCCTCCCTGGGGGGGGCGCCAGAGAGCTTCAGGGGAGGCGCAGCTTGAGAAAAGAATAACGAGAAAAAGATGAGTAAAGTGTCACCTCGCCAAAAACGCTGTAAAAGTGCTCATTCCCTTCACCTCCAGCCAGGGGCGGACTGGCCATCTGTGTGTGCTGGAGAATCACAGAACGGCCGGTCCTCAGCGGGTCGTCAGTTTAATAATTAATTTGTTATGTTTTTAAACGGCATCATTTAAGTTGCGCTGACAGGCGACAGAGGTCTGTTCAGTGAGGCTCCCCCCCCCCCTGTTGACAGTTCACGAGAACCACCCCCCTGTTGACAGTTCACGAGAACCACCCCCCTGTTGACAGTTCACGAGCACCCCCCCCCCTGTTGACAGTTCACGAGCGTGCTCTACCAATTTGTGTGGGCTGGGCTGGGTGAGATTCCAGGGCAGATTTTTAGTCCCAGTCCGCCCCTGCCTCCACCTACCTGTGTGAGTGCGTGTTTTCCGCATTGACTTTGATCAAAAGCAAGTAGCGGTCAAGGCTGCAGCCTGAGGATGATCTGCGTTTATTCCTGTCTACATTGCATCCCCGCATCATCCGCCTGTGCGCATCAAAGACGCAGACTCATTGTTCCCACTAAAGTAGAGGTGAGTGTAATAAGGAGGCAAAGTTGGCGTTCAGTGTGTGGGAGCATATAAGGATTTATCCACCATGTTAAAAAAATGAAAAGATAAAAAGTAAAACATTTAATATTTTAAGGAGGTGACGCTTCTCAGCCAATCAAATCGGTGCAGTCAGTGAGTAATTTCAAATGGCGTGCTCAAAAAAGAGAAAGGTAGACAGCGAAAACAGAGCATTTAATGACATTTTCTCTTACTGGACCTCTTTGACATGCAATTGAGTACCCCTGCATTATAGCAACAACAGCAACAACAACAACAATAGCAATAATAATTGGGAGGGGGGGTGCGATTGTTTTTATGTTCGCTGAGGGGAGGCTCACCTTCCCACACTTTGAAAACCCCTGATGTAGATAATTAACAAAGATTTAGAATCCACTCAAGAAAATGAACCAATGATCCAGTTTTATTATCAACGCCATTGAAACAAATATTTAAAAAAGTTTCAGTATTTGCATTTCTATAAACATGTTTGATTACACATAAAAACTTTTTTAGAAAAGGTGCGATGGTTAATCATTAAGATCCAGTGAAGCAGACTCTAATTGTGACTTGGGAAACATGAATCCAATCAAAACGTCTATATTTTAGTTTAATCTCAAATATTCTGTGTGTTTGTGCGTGCAGGTCGTGTCCTGGAGCTGTGCTCCTCCTCCCTCTGTTGGACCTCCACCTGTCTCGGCTCTGTCAGGCTCTGGACTCGCTCCGCTCCACCCCCGCTGTCAGCTCGCTCCCTGCAGGCATTACAGCTGGACTGGGGAGACTGGAGGAGGCTGGTTCCACTGGTTTCAGCGTGGAGGACACTGGTTTGGCTGCTCTGAGGCTCCTCCACCTGCTGCTGGCCCACAGTGACAAGGTGATGACCCAACAGTAACAACACCTGTAATGAACCTGCAGACACACTTTTAATAACAACATTGAAATCACATCTTTTTTTTCGACCCAGTGGAAAAGGTCCTTCCCCGTTTGCAGTATAGATCAGTGGTTCCCAAACGGTGTGCCGCGGCACACTGGTGTGCCGTGAGGCAAGTCCGGGTGTGCCGTGGGATTTTGTGACAACCATACGTTATTATTGCAATATACAACTACACAAAAATAATTATTTTTTAATTTACTATATCAGTGCTTTGTAGGTTTATATGTACGCGTCCACATCTCCACGTGCAGTGCTGCATAAACATGGCTGAGTCAGCGATAACTCTCGAGGGGTGGAGGTATGCCCATTATTTTGAGTTCGTCCGAAGAATAGACAGGAATGTGACGGTGAGGTGCAAACTGTGTCCAGGCCAGAAGCTGTTATCCACTGCTGTAAACACCACGTGGTCAAACCTCAACAAACACCTGCAAAGAACACATGCTTTTTTGTTTATATCACGTCGTCTGTTCTTCTTCTCTGTTTTCCGGTTGTTGCCTGTTTTGAATGACAAATACACACTACCGCCGCCTGCTGGTAAGGAAAGTTATTGCCACTCACGCATGCGCAGTTCGTACGTGCTCGGCGAGAAAAGTAACTCGTTACTTTATGTAGATAGTAACGAAGTAGTGTAATGTATTACTTTTTTTTAAAGTAATATGTATTTTTTTAGTAACGACCCCATCTCTGGAGTTGGCGTTCTCTACTCTGGTTTACATGAAGAACAGGAGGTCACGGCTCTCTGTTGAACAGGACTTGCGAGTGGCCCTCTCCTCAGTGCCACCAAGGATTACAAAATTCTGCGCGCCCCGACAGGCCCATGTATCTCACTAATTTGTAAATCGGCAAAATATTTACAATAGCACATGTTTCAATGCTGATTGCTGAAATGTTACATTTATATAATTTGTAGTTCAGGACCATGGACAATGCAGCTTCCTTGCATTGACAGTTCTCTGTGCTGAATTTCTGCTGAGTTTCTTTTGCCTCATTTTTTATTGTGTGACCTGTCTGGTTTAAATGAGTGTGTTGCTGCTTTGATGAAGCCTAATTTGATAACGTTTCAAATTAATTTCTGAAATATTTCGTTAATAAATATTTCATGAGTAATATAGTTGTCTTTGTCACATTTTATTTGGCATTAGTAAATAATTATGCACATTTACAGATATTTTACATGATATGAGTGATAACACGTGTTATAAGGGCTATTTTGCACAATAGGTGTGCCTTGAGATTTGTACTTGTTCTTTGGTGTGCCTTGGGCACAAAAAGTTTGGGAACCACTGGTCTAGATGATACAGTTATTTTTCATTTCCAGGTGGTGGAGGCTGTGCTGTCAAAGGAGAGTCAGAGCAAAGTTCCAGACATAAAGGTACAATCTGAAACAGACACACCTTTCCACTTTCAGATATGGTGTATGACTCATTAATTCATTTAGAACATTTCGACTCTATGATATATATATATCACTTCACTTCTAGAAGGCTTCAGGTCATTATGTTATTATGATTAACTGTGATTGTTTTCCCTCACAGAAAAACATTTAATTCTATTTTCATTTGCTCCCTCTGTTCTTAGACTGAACCCTCTACTGCAAGTGTGGGTTTGTGCTCCCAGAATGTTTTGCTGCAGTCCCTATTGCACCTGTGTGAAGCCGGGCAAAGCAGTGAAGGCGTCTCGCAGAATGAGGAGCTTGTCCTCAATGCCATGAAGACTCTGTGCGTGCTTATTGAGAGGACGCCACACACACATGCTGACAGGTACACACACAGTCACACACACAAACAGTTGAATTGCTTTCACTTTTTCTTTTCTTTTTCACAGTCTGTCGTACCGTCATCTTGGCACACTGAACGGACGTGCCACAGCCTGGCTCAGTGGAAGTTTTTGGTTTCAGACATGGGTGAAAGTGTACTGATGTAGTGGAAAGAGGTGCGCTGGATTTATGACGCAATACAAAACAAGAGCATCATTGCGAAATGGAGTGCGTCACAATAATTGCTTAATCTTGATAGCTTGTTTTCTGTTTATTATTTTATTTTTGTTGGAATCCAAAATCGTGATTTCAAAATATATGTATTTTTCCACCCAGCCCTAACACAGCAACTCAAATAAAAAGAAAGATGTCAATATAAAAGTGCCCTATTATACTTTTGGGGGGATTTCCCTTTCCTGTATTGTTATATAGGATTTACTAAAGGCTAACATCCCAAAGTCGGGATTTCCCCCCTGCCTCCATTGGACTCGTTTGTTGACATCCATAGCATAACGAAATCACTATGTAACACTTGCATTATTGGCTAGCGCTCCAACACATTGTACGTAACACATCTCTAATCGGTTGACCAGTGTATGAGAAAAATCAAGAGCTTTTTGAACATTAAAGCATGGCACAAAAAAAAAATGTGTTCTCTTTAAACTTAACTCGGGATGCTCCGATCGCCAATTTCGGGGCCGATCGCCGGAATCAGTATCGGCCGACACCGATCGCCGATCCGATCGAGTGGGCGGGGCCTAAATGGAAGATTTAAACATCACTTTAAATCTTCCATTTAAAGTGATGTTTAAACTCAGTTAATGGGGCTCATTCACTGGAGCTTCCACAAACAACAATCAACTTAATTATTACATTCAAATGAAGTACATTATTCAAGTTTACATTCACTTTGGATAATAACACGGGAGAAATGAGCGGAAGCGCTCTCTTTTCCTCTCTCCCTCTCTCTCTCCCCCCTCTCTCCCTCTCTCCCTCTCCTGACAGCCTGTCAGTATCTCATGCAGCTCACTGATCCAGTAATGAGTGACCAGACAGTGAAGAATACATATATTTCTAATAATTAGTTTAGCTTGTTCCAGAGATAAAATAGCTAAGTGTGTTAGGTCTAACTCTTGTGTGTTTCGCTCCGCTTACCTGTCCGGCGGGCGGAGATGCAGGATTTCTGCTTCACACACCGCTATCTTACTGTCTTTTTCGGACACCTTAAAATAATGCCAGACCGGTGAAGCCATTTTGGCGAGCTTGTTTTGCCGCACACAGAGAAAAGTGTCATGTATTTTACGTCATGCGATCGGCTCTCACGATCGGCATGTTTAGAGAGCACCGATCGATCGGTAGAGAGTGAGTATCGGCCGATATCGATCGGTAGAAAGTGAGTATCGGCCGATATCGATCGGTAGAGAGTGAGTATCGGCCGATCTCGATCGGTGACCGATCGATCGGAGCATCCCTAAACTTAACTGTGGTCTTGGCAAGAATCACATTCTTGAGAATCAAGAATAAAAGTCTTCATGAAGATCAGTATCAGGGTAATGAGTTGTCACTTGATGATGAATTAACAAGTTTGACAGATGTTCAGAGTTTTTGTCTTCAATATGTGAGCTCTTCATTGCAGGTGTCATGAAACTTCATGCCTTGGGTAACTCTCTTTAGCGCGCATTCTTTTTCGACAAACGTCTAATTACATTGCAAACACACACGCATGCACACACAAACAACACATGATGCAACACACACCTTGGAGGAATACTACTGGAGAAAGGAGTGCCCGAGCAGGGAGTGTGGGGTTTATGAATGTTTCCACTGACTGTCTATGATGCAATATCTGAGTGTAAAGTGATTTACAATGACTGTAAAGATGTAACAGAGTATATAAATAACTGATACAATATGAATTCTTCAGTCTGACCATGAGATCAGAATTAAAAAGGAGCCACTTGTTTATTTATTACTCCAGAAATGACTCCAATTCAGAATTGACCCTTCCTGTGTTGACTTATGATGTATTAGTTTACACTCTTACATGTGTGTCTCTGTTTCTCTCTCAGGTTGCAGTGTGTGTTGCAGGTGGTGTGTGTGTGTGTGTCAGCAGACTGCGGGTTGCAGACAGTGTCGGGGGGTGTGTCCGTCCTCACGTCCATGTCCGACCAACACACACTGGCCCAGCAGCTCTGCTCTCAGCACGGTCAGTCTCCACACACTGCTATTGATATGGCATTGACTTCACTCCAAGTTTATGTCATTCTCCTGCTCTGTAACCTCTCTTTGAAGTTTATAAAGGTTTTTGACTTTGCTTCAAATGTTCACTACATGTGTCTGCTCCACATGATGTAACTGCAGCAGTGTTTGATTGTTGTTGTTTTCTTTAGACCCGTGTATTTTCCTGAAGTTGTTCCAGTTTATCAGAACGAGACCGGACAACCAGGCAACACACACAGACTGGGTTCTGTTGGACCTGCAGGTAACACAAACACGCTTACACACACACACACACACACACACACACACACACACACACACACGCTTACACACACACGCACACACACACACTTACACGCACACGCACACACACACACACACACTCACACCCACACACATGCTTACACACACACATACGCACACACACACACATGCACACACACACACACACACACACACACACACACGCTGCAGAGGTGTAGTGATTCTGCTTCGTATAATAGTTGAAGAAATGGACTTGGTCTTATTACTTTTTTGTTGTCCGACTGCATCTAACCTCAATTGTTTCTGTCTGTTCTAATTCTCTCTGAGTCATGTGTGTCCTTGTAGCCTCATTGCCATTAAATCACTAAATATGGATAATGGCAAATTGATTTAGGAAAAGACCATGGGGATGCTAAAGGAATCAAGCAACGTTATTTACAATGAGTAAAATGACGAACTCAATGCTGTTCAACGCAAATATGAAGTTCCATCCAAACACAAACCCTCCTAAGAGGGACGTGTCCTTTTTCTCCACAGTGTATAGGGCATACATTGTTGACAACCGAATGATATGTCTTTTTAAAATGTGCTGCTGTATTGTGAACTCGACCGTAATTAAAAAATGAACTGCTCCTACTACTAGGATGAGTTAAATGCAGAGGCCACATTTCACTGTGTGTGCTGTGTGCTCTGCATGCGTGACCATTAAAGAGGGGTTCATCCCTCCAATTCTCGATTCTACCTATTTATTTGAGAATTGAAAATACTTTAGTTTGGGCCATGATTGTCTTTGTGCCACAGGTGGTTCGTTTGCTGAGCCGACTGATGACCCAGAGAGCAGACAGCTGGACTAACAACCAGCACACTACCTGTCAATGTGACACTGAGGTAAGACTGTCTGACCCTCTGCTCTGTTTTTAAATAGTTACACTAAATGTGGTGTTGCAACTTTCTACACAACCCTCTCATCTCGCTCTCTCTCAGTTGGTGCAGACTGTGGTGATTGTTTTCCATCGTCAGTGGTTGGATCTTCGCGGTTCAACAGGTCACATTTCAGACTTATTTATTTCACCCCTTGTCCCTTAAACTATTTATAAAACCCATTAATGTGTCCTAAAAATAATTGATTACCAATTATTGTAATTGTTTCCGTCTTTCCTTCAGGCGTGGCCCCGCCCCCACCAGAGTGCCCCGCCCGCTTGTTACCATGGTGGCGCGGCCCTGCTGCTTCCCTGCTCAGAGAGTGTCTGCTGCTGCTGCACTGGCTGCTGCTGCATCACGGCAGCTTCTCAGAGAGCTGCAGGCCACTGCTGCACATGTACGACCAGGTGATCCCCGCCGTACGAGACACGCTGAGGAGGATCCCCGAGCTGAGCGAGAGCGAGGGTACACACACACACACGCACAAACACACACGCACCAACAAACAAACAAACACACACACACTAATCAAAAGACAAAATAGTTTTTATGTTCTTCTTCTGTCAGGCTGTTGAAGCGGTCAGATTTTACACTAGCAGTTATCTTCTGAGAGCAGTCTAATTAAGAAGCGATATATCTAAATTGTATTTACACGTCAATGCGTAGAACTCATGGGATCAGCCAGATAACATGGGGAATGCTATGCCATTTATAAAATAAAAAACTGAGTTGACATGGAAACTGTACTTGATTCTTGTCGGTCACATTATGACTTCATCAGGTCAGTTTAACTTCTTCTCACAGTTCTCTTCCAGCCATAAGTGTTGCTGCTTGTTGGAAACATGCTGTAAATGTAAAAAAAAAATTATGATTAATAAATATAGTCTTAAGAGCGACATGTTTGACCCTCTTATTCAGTTCAGTCAAGTACAGAAATATCTTTCAGATGTCTACATTTTTGTAAATTCTGAAATAAACACATTTATTTTCTTTCACTTCCTGTTTCCCGCCAGAGCTGGCGCTGGAGGAGATCTGCCGCTCGGAGGGTGACGACACAGATGACATGGACACTGAACCTGGCTCCTGATTGGCTGCTGCCATCGAAGAGGGACACTTTACTGAGTGTTGATTGGATTTTTTCAGATGGAGACGAGGAAATAACAGAGTAAAGTGGGTGTTGGAAATTAGATGAAGGACTACAGAAAATTCAGAGATCTCACTGTATTGATGGAAGCTCAAATGGATGTCTTCTGCTGTCCGATGAGATTTAACAATAAAAGAAGAAGGTGAGAAAAACTGCACAGTATGATATTTACATTTTCCTTTCTTTCTGTCTTTACTCTAAACGGGCCATATTCTGCTTATTTAGCTTAGAACTCCAATGTGAAATATTTCCAGGCTTTATTGTTCAAAAAGGTCTTTATTTTTCTAATATTTCTGTGCTGCAGCACCTCTTTCCACCCTCTGTCTAAAACCAGACTGCTCTCATTGGTTAGCTGGCCGGCTCTGTTGTGATTGGTTGGCAACTTAGAGATGTCCCGCCCCTTAGCCTATCACATACATTAGCCGGAGTACTTTTCCCCGTACTTTTCCCTTTTAGTTCCGATAGTTCCTGGGATTTTGCGTTCACACCAAAAAGAGAACTTGGTTCATGAGAACTTTTCCCCCCTTTTCAGTCCCTGCTAGAGAGTACAGGTACTTTCCTGGGGAGAAAAAAGTTCCAATTTCTGATTGGCTGGGCGAATTGCAAACCACACCCCTTAAAACTCTGAAAAGTTTTGTGAAGCTGCCATTTTATTTGCTGGCATTATTATCATTAGCATTAGCCCCGCGCATCAACGGAGAGAGACTAACTTATGGCAACACAAAAAAAAACATGGGAGCGGTGGAGATGAGGAGGTGTCGGCGTTCTGGGGATTTACTCGGAAGGCTTCAGTAGAAGCTGCTGGGAGTCCCAGCAGCTTCTACTGAAGCCTTTCCCCAACTCTGGGGACTTCCGGCCGGGGACTTCGGGTGGCAGTATACGCCGTGAAGTGGTTTGCGGCCTGCCAGTAAACCCAAAGAAGAAGGTTTGCGTAATCTTCCCTCAGGTACTTATTCCGGTGTGAACGGAGGTGGTTCCATGGGGGAACTAAGTATGGCAAAGTACTTGGTGTGAAAGTGGCTAATGTGTTGGAGTGCTAGTCAATAGAAGCACAAGTGTCTGGGAGAGAACGCAGGAAAGAGAAACCCCCAAAAGCACAATAGGGCCCCTTTAACAGTTTGGGCAGCTGTAAAGGTAGGTAATATAGATGTGGAGATGGTAGCAATATTATCATCAAACTTAACAGTGGGGATATTTTTGATTTAAATACCATTAAATGCTGCTTTTTTAACTGCTTTATACTAGGGGTGTAACGGTATCCGTATTCATCCCGTACCGTCACGGTTCGGACGTCACGGTTCGGCACATGCAGTCACACGGCGAATACGCCTTTTTTTACGAGTGGGAAAAAAGTCTGTCACTCAGGGCAGTATTACACTATATATAATCCAGGGGGCGGCATTGCGCCTAAAAGCCAGCCGCCCGTAAATAACAAATGAAGAACAAGAACAAAACACAACAAAACGAACAGAATACATGAAGAAGAAAAGTTAGTAGCTAATATGGCGAGTTCACACACAACACACAGGAGCTAGAAGACCCACCTGCTTCTTTTAAATCAGGTGTGTGGGAACATTTCGGGTTCCCTGTGGACTACAACAATGATGGGGTGCGAGTGGTGGATCGGACGAGGACGGTGTGTCGGCGTTGTTCGACAGCGGTGCGGTATGCTAGTGGTAACACGTCAAACATGCTCAATCACATCCGAGTCAGTCTCAGTCCCCAGCGAGAGGGTTTTCTCGCCGGCAGGTGACATAGTTACCGCCAACAGATCTGCCCTCACTACTGACAACGTAGACAAACTCATCTTTTTGAAGAACAACTTGAAAATAGAGTAAAGCTTGAGTACCTTTATTTAGGCATAATGGCCTCACACACTCACAAGTTAATTACACATGTTAGACATTGCTCCTAAAGGTACAGATTGTATTTTGTTTTATATTTATTATTGTATTTATTTTATATTTTGACATCAGGAGATGTTATACAGTTCTGTATTGCCTTTTATTGATTGTGATTTAAACACTTTCTTTCTTTATTTAAATATTTTCAAGACATTCTTTTTAGTTGTACAGCTTATTTAACTTTTTAGTTTGACATCAGCCATTATAAATAATATGGCCATCTGAGTGTGTGTGTTACTGTGTGTTTGTGGTTTGTTTTTAACTGTAATACAGTTAATGATTCCAAATGTTAGAGTTCCTTATTTTCATACTAAAACTTGCACTACTGTTAAATAAAAATGCATTTGGGACTTTTTTTTGCTTTTCCTTGTTGTACCGAACCGTGACCCCCAAACCGAGGTATGAACCGAACCGTGACTTCTGTGAACAGTTACACCCCTACTTTATACTATTGCCTTTATAAAAATTCCAATTGCCTCTATTGTTTTTAAGAGAGTCTGGCTTTTTGGCTGAAAGTTAGACGATATAATCAGTAACACTTTTATATCTTTCCAAAACCTATAAATGTTTTAGACACTTGTGCCTCATGTGGCTACAAAGTGAGATACAAACAGGTTTCTACACAAATCCCAAACATTTTAATTACAAAAGAAAAAATACAGACCGGCTTTGTGTGTTTTGTTAGCTGAGGACTAAAATGAATGAATGAATTAAATTAAAGCATAAACAAAAACAAAAACCAGTTGGAGGCAGAACAGTTTGTGAAACATCTTTAATTGTATCTCTGGAATTGAGGTGTGACACATTCAGAAGAAGGCATCCTATTGGCTGGTTGTGTGGTCGCTCTATTTTCATATTATGATTCATTCAACACACAGTGCTAGAGAGAGAGAGAGAGAGAGAGAGAGAGAGAGAGAGAGAGAGAGAGAGAGAGAGAGAGAGAGAGAAAGAGAGAGAGAGAGAGAAGAGAGAGAGAGAGATATATATAGAGAGATAGAGAGAGAGATAGGACGAGATCTCTATCGCTCGCATCTCGCTATTCTCTCTCTCTCTCTTCGATCATCTACTCTCTCTCGCTCTCTTCTTGCTCTCCTCTTCTCGTCTCTGATTCTCTCTCTCTCTTTCTCACCTCCTCTCTTCTCTCTCGTCTCCTCGCTCTTCGGGTCTGAATCTGAGCTTTCATCCTTATCTAGCTCTTCATCCTTACCTCCCTCTATACTCGAACCACAAAAAACCTTACAATCTCTGCAGCCTTTTTAGGTTAAATTGTTTTCTAATATCGCTATTTAGGTTAATTGTTCTAATCCGTCCACGAGCACGACGGCATCTTGCTATCGCGTGAAGGATCTGCTTTATGCGCTCCGCACAAACCCTGCTGCGTGCTCACTAGCGCTTTTCTCTGAGGATTTCTGTTTTTAGGAAGATTTGTATTTATTTTACATTGTTTCTGGGAATTTCTCTACTTTAGAAGTCGCTTGTTGAGGAAGGCACATGTGAGTCTGGTCAAGTAACCCAGGATTAGACTGTCTGTAATGTGTGTGTGCAGTGCACTCTTGTATGTCTATCTTTGTGAGGACCTACTTCAGTTTTTGAATGGTTGTAATATTTTGTCTGAAGGCTGTTTGAGGTTTTCAGTTTTTTTTTTTTACATTAGAGTAAATATCAGGTTAAGGTCCCCCAAGGGTTGGGGCTAATTAGCTTAATGGCAATAGACAAGTTATGGAATGAATTAACGATTAAGTAAATGTTCCTTCACTGTGGAATGTAATGGCTGGAGAAGAATGGCACTATCAGCATTTAGATTGGTTTCCCAATAATAATCCTTCCTTTTTAATTATGCAATACTGTCTGTTTCTTGGTACGAGTTCTTGTGTAAATGAATACTTAGTTTACCACAGAAAAGGACATGCTTCAACCATTGCGACACCAAAACCATAAGAGGATGGGGTTTGGATGTTCCCCTGTATGTATCAGCAGTTACGGATTTGGGTGGAACAACCAAAGCCAAATAAAAAAAACACGAAGCAATGTGTTTTGGATTTTTACCGAGTGGTCTGAAGAACTTGCTAAATTAGAAGCTAGCTGTTGGCTTTCTTTATGGCATCGATGCAAACAATAATACTTCTTTAAAACTCTAGGGGTGGGGTGAATTACATTGATTTGGGTCCTCACAAGTATAGAAGTACAATTGTGTGTCTTAGTGTTTTTCAGTCCATGTTGGAACCAACTGGTCATCGTCCTCTTGTTTAGTCTGTGGTGTTTTGTGCGAGCTGTGATGAGTCTTTTGTGTTTTGTGATGTTGCGTGTGGGGATTGTTCAGCCACGGGTGCATCAGCAGCTCCGACGCCGTCAGTCTCTCTGCGGGTGACTTCCTCAGCATGCAGCCAATCAGACACTTGGCTCGTGGCGAAAGCCAATCAGGCAGGCTGAAGGCCCCGCGGCGGATCTTAGTGAACAGCGCGGCAGGTTGCGTGTCCTGAAACGGGTATCGTCCAATCAGCATGGTGTACAGAGACACGCCCAGGCTCCAGATGTCTGCGGCGCGGCCCGAGTAAGACCTGCGCCCATTGGTCAGTAGCTCGGGGCTGACGTAGGCGGGGCAGCCGTGTCTGTCCGTCAGAGAGTCGTCGTCACGGTTCCCGTGCAGGAGGACGCAGTCGTCGAGGCCGAGCAGAGCAACACGTGTCCTGCAGAAAGAAAACCAAACATTTCATTTATACGTCATCAGTAGATATATTACACACATTTATGGTTGTATCCATTTAACACTGATACCATTTATGATATTGCTGCTACTAATAATACTGCTGATGTTAGCAGTGTCATTATTTTCAGTCTCACCTGTATTTGTCGGTGAAGACGAACCTGCGGAGCTTCAGGTCTCTCAGGACGACGCCGTGCTGGTGACAGTGCGTCACGGCGTTCAGCATCTGAGTGAACAGATGCCCCGCCTCCTCTTCGCCGACAAGTTTCCTGCTTCGCACATACGCGTGCATGTCACCGTGGTGAGTGGGAAGGAAGACGTACACGCTGTCCTGGCCAATCACTACGTCCTGCAGGCTGCAGATGTTGTCATGGTCACCGATGCGGGAGTAAGCAGCCAACCGCTCCTGGTAACCACGCAGAGGAATCACCTGTAACCATGACATTCAGGTTAGATAACACGGTTAAAGTTAGAAACTTCATTGTGGCATGGGCAGGTGTTTTTACAATATCATGAGTATTTTCAACAGTACTTATTACACGTACAATATTACTAGCAGAATCAGCATTATTTCCAAAGCGTTTTTCAATAACAATTTTTTGCAGGTATAACCATAAAAGTGTTTCCAAAACTATTGGTATTTATTTGTAGCAATATCAGTAGTTTTATAAGCAATATCAAGAATTTCCAGAAGCATTTTGTAATATTTTAGCAGGATTAACAGTTGGCAGTATCTGTAGTATTTTCAGAAATATTGGCACAAGTAGTACTTGTATATTCAAATGATCAAGTAAGTTAAAAGTATTTGCCATATTTTGTAGTATTTTCAGCAGTTTTAGCTTTATTTTTGGCAGTATATAATGTAGCCTTTTTATACAAGCACAATCGTATTTTTGCAGTATAAACAATATAAGTATTTTTTTTAACATTTAGCTTTAAGTAACTACTATTTTTACCACTTTAAACCGTATTCATGCATAGATATAAACAGTATCAATCATATTTTTTCAGTACGAGTTATGTTTAATGTAGTATCACAATTCCTTTCAGAAGTATAAGCTATACTTTTGGAAGAATCTATAGCATTAGCACCAGTATGTGTCACAGTATAAGCAGTATTTGTAGTACTTGTTCCAGTATCAGTGACATATAGCTGTACCTGGCAGGTGTATTGCTGTTTTGTGTGTGCGTGCTCGGCCCTGTAAGTCTTCTCCCCCTCGCAGCGTTTAAACAGGATGTAGGATCCCACTCTGGAAGGCGATTGGCTCTGGTCGGGCTTGGGGGAGGGGCGTATGGGCCTGAGGCACTGCGAGAGTCCGGTGGCCGGAGGGGTCGGATCCAGGCGAGCTGCTTTCCATTTGGGTGAATTGTCCTGGGGCTCGTCCAACAGTCTCTTCAGACAGCGCTGAGAACTGGCTGCAGTCACGGCCATGCTCATCTGTGATTGGAGGAGACAAAATACATCAGGTTAATTACAACTTGCATCTTTTGATATAACTGTGGCTGAAGAGGAGGCGTTTTAAAACAATATTATATAAGTGAAAATGAAAATGTAAGGTATGGTAAGGCTTTGGGTTGGATTAATTAATGGGTTTGGGTAATTGAAACACATAATAAATAAAAAAACGCATTATAAATCTATAGTAATAACACATGGGATTTGTACAGCGCTTTTCCTGATGCTCAAAGACGCTTTACATGAAATCAGAACAGAAACGATACAAAGAAAACAAAAAACATCAACAATGTGCAAAACCTGTATCGCAGTCGCATTAAAAATAAAATAAATGATTTGTATAGCTGCTTCAGTCTGAAGATTTCAGTGACGGTTCACAATGTAAAGCTCAGGTGTGTTTTAGGTATGATCTTGTAATATATACCTAAACAGCAAACAAAATCAAGCATCATAAAAAAACAAAAACACCTTAGTAAGAATAAAATAATGTTTACAATGAGATATAAAATAATTAAACAATATAATTGATAATGAGACAGACGCAGCAAGTAACTAATTAAAAAAAAGCACTGAACATAAGTTCTGAACAGTTTAAATATGAGAAATGAAATTACGAACGTGTGGTATATACAGTCTATGGGTAATAGTTGGTCGTATTTCAACAATTGTTCTAGAAGAAACTGGAACTTTTTCTCCATGCACTACTTAGCCCCCTCTGCTGGTCACATCAGTGCTGAGCCTCCCTCACAAACCCCCCACCGGTACATCTCTACCCACAGTAAAAAGAGTTGTATTAGATGATATTAAATCACATGTCAGTGTGTTGCGAGTCTCTGCTGCTCTCATGTTACACAGCTAACGTGTCTATAGGCTTCATGATGAAACTTCCTGTAAGCTGACAGACGCTTCAGCTTTCAGATCATTGCATCAGAGCACAACAGTTTAAACACACTTTAAATACAGTCAACACCTACCACACACACACACACATTGAGTGTTTTGATATAGTTAGTCAGAGCCTTTGGTCGCCGTGGTGATGCTGTGTTGTAGCCTGCTGTTGGCCAACGCTGTTTTCACTCTGGTGAAACACTCTGAGTCACAGCATCACTGTAGCAACGTCATACTGACACACGCATGCACCGAAACACATACAGTGAATCTCTGCTTTGTGATGTCTAATCTAGTCAGCTGCTGTTTCACAATCAAAAATCTGACTGTTAATAATAAACACAGAAAAAAGCTAGATTTGACTATAAACGCAGCTGACTGAGAAATCTGTATTTCTGAATATTGTGAAGCACGTTTCTCAGATTTAATCTACATATTCTGAGACAAATCAGCATCCATTGCGGTAGTAAGAGAAACCCTTTGTGAGTTCAACAAAGTTTAACAATTACTTTATTCAAAAACTACAAACAACTGCACAGCTCAAACAACTACAAAACTACACGTCCAATAAAAAATGTGCAGCGCCGGTGCTTGAGCCATTTGTACAATTCACAATGCTCTCGGCTAATGTAGTTTATTTTAATAACAAGATGTATCCTTTACTGTCTGATTCTTAAAAAACACATTTAGACCGTTTACTCTATAGCTACAAGCATCTGATGAATTAGTCAAAATAATCACCAAGGATTTTGATAACCAATAAAAACGTTTCATGTGAAAATGACATTAAATGCTGTGGTCAGCCTTTCAAATATGTATGTTCCTTTTTCTGTTTCAATTCATATTTGACACTGACAAAACAAGACATCTAAAGACTTCACCTTGAACTTTAAAAAATTGACTTTTTAATAGACGAAACAACCAAGAAATTAATTGGCGGATACATTTATCACTAAATAAAGTGTTTTTTTCAGGCATAGTTCACCCCCTCTGTCAGGCTATTATTTAAGTATCTGAGCGCAACACTTTCATTTGCCCGTAGACTCACCTTTGATGTGAATCCTATGGGTTACACCTAAGGTCTTAACTTATGGGAGATTGCGTTCATTAAAGGCAGCTAAAATGATATATAAAGTATAAAGTGTCCTTATGTAGATGAATGGAGTTAACAGGGAGATGGTGGGGTTTTCTTACTCTGGAATAGAACCTGGCAGCTAAGTTTTCACGTTGGCTCCTTACTTGAACGTACTGAACTCTACTGGTATGTATTTTATTTATTTGTTTATTTTATTTGGAATTGAAAAGTTGTACTCTTATCTTGTCTCCATCTCAACATAGACATTCTGACATCTACTCTCAGTCCCACGTCCTGTTTGGTCTCAGAAGGAAATCTGCTCACTAACATCTCTTCAAACTCATCTTACAATTACAAGGGCTCACATTTTTTGGTCCTAATCCGTCAATTAGCTATCTTTTGTATCTGATTCGAAATAACTTTAATACAATTGTTTTCAACATGGTTTAAAAGTCCCAAAAGCAAAACAGCTACTGAGCTCACAACAACAAACCCATCTCCATGAGAAGTGATGCAACAATTCATAAACTCTGCTCTGTCAGAGGTGTAACACGTATGTTTACTCAAGGACTGCATGTTCAGGTATTTCTACTGTAGTGCATGTTCTGCTACCGTGTACACCTTGACCATTCACATTATAACCTACTGCATTCAACTGGCAAATAAAGATTTAATAAACATACTGAACTCATAAGATTATAAGTGCTAGGAAAAAGGAGAAAATCATATATCCAAAATAGTTTTGAACAAATAGATATTAATATTGCAAAGATTGGAGCTTTCACTAATACTTACACAATGACATTTTTGATAAAGAACCATCCGCAATGTGGATATAATGGCTGAGTGTGTAAAAAGTATAAAAGAAGACATCACTTTACTGTAATGCATCTTAAATAGCTGAGCCCCATTAGATATAATCATTTTTATAGATCAAACAACAACAAAAAGTGAATTAAAAAGTGTGTGCGCTCCATCTCCACCAGGTACACTATAAAAGGTCAAAGGAATCGATAATACTGTATTAGTTACTCGGATATAGATAATTCTGCACAATGAGTAGCCTACCTTAGTACATTTGGCTGATGTAATGTGACTTGAATCAACGACATACACTTGATGTCATATGTTTACATTCTGCTGACAGTTTGATCCAAAGCGATTTACAATAAGTGGTAGGCTTATAACCACTGTGTGTACTTTTACTTTCACTTAAGTAAATGATCTCTTTCTATATCTTACCTTGTTCTTTAAAGAGAGGGGCTGCAGGTAAACAGGAAGCCAGGTGAGTCGCAGCAGCAGTCTGTCTATGGAGCAGAGGTTGTTGAAGACATCAAAACTAAAATGTTTCCCTCTGAGTTTGAACCGGTGCAGTAGAGTGGACTGTCCGGTGGTGACGTCTTTGTCTCGGTATTATTATTATTGTTTCCGGTGGTGACGTTTCGTCAGTCAGCTGTTGGTTGAGTTTCTTTTTCGGTCTGAATTAAATTAATAAACTTAAGGTGACAAAAAGGGAAGCTGCAAAAAAACAACCGAACTGTTTTTGATGAGACTACGAATGAAACTATTTTGTTTATGTATATATCTGGAGCTGAAGCGAACAAAGCCGAGCCAACCCGAGTCCTTCCGTCCGTCTTTGGGAGTTTAAATTACAGTTATGTCCGTGTGTTGCTCCGTTTTATATCCAGTGTGGACCTCCGGGACTCTGGTCGGCTCTGACCCTGTTCTCCAGAACTTTTAGCCGGACTGAGGACTTGCTCGATCACCGGGTGTGTTTGCTTCATCCAGCGGGGGGCGGAGCCTCGATGGTGCAATACTGAGCGGATCAGTCGTCAGAAAACCGACACGAGACTCCGCACGAGCTGTTTCGATATGTTTCTATACGTAACGATAGCCTCCGGCTCCGGTGGAGGAAGTAGTCTGATGTCTCGATTAAGAAAAAGTAGCAATGCTACATTACTAACGTGTAAAAGTAATTAATTCAATGTTCCACTTAAGTAAAAGTATTATAATTATAACGCTATGTATTAACCAAACTTGAAGTACCAAAAGTGAAAGTATTTCAGAATCATGTTCATTAATGTATTGTATTATAAGTTCTTACATATGCATTTAATGTGTTTATCATTTACATTTTTCAGATAGAAAATATGTTTTTATTATTATTACTTTATTACTTTATTATTATTACCACTGGCTAGCTTAACCTTTAATATCATGATTTATGTAAAATAAATATAGTGGAGTAAAAGTAGCATAATGTGAAAATACTCCAGTAAAGTACCTCCAATTGTACTTAAGAGTAAGTGCACTTGGTTACATTCACTGAGTAAAAGTAGTAACACACACTGTTTAAATACTCATTTACACATAACAACAAAAGACAATTAAAGACCTGCATCCAAAATCCCACCTAGTTAAAACCATTATTATTTTCAAACAGCTGATGATTTTATATACAGAAGATTACGCCATTTAAAAAACGGACACACTGGGCAAGTTTAAAAGACATATCACAAACGTTTACGGTGTGCCTTCAAAAATTAATTATTGCGTAAACATTTATTTTTGCACTTTGAATTGTGTGTAAAAATAAAGTTTGCTTGACTTTTTCATTTATTACCCAGAATCTCCAGTTATACTATTAAGTAATAGAAACCTCAAAGATGTTTTCCTCTGACAGTAACTACAGTACAGTGAGTTTTTTTTAATATCTGCAGTATGTGTTTTGCATTGTGCAGAAGTGTGCAAAAAAGTAATGTGCAAAGGACAGTAATTGACAGATCCCAGTCTTGTTTGATTGCAAAACCTGACTGTGGACCTGCAGAACTGCAGCCACCTGCTGACCTTTGACCCTAATCTGTCCGCAGTCTGCTGCTGGAGGCTCAACACAGTGTGATCTGCATCCACGTCTGGCACATTCTTTAAATATAGGCTGTTTGCACGCTTCACCATTCTCTGAAGTCTGTCTCCTCTCACCTGCCTCCCTGGCATAGATGAAGTTATATTAGCTGTGTCATAAGAATTGGATACTATAACTTAAATATAATAATTGTATTTATTTGATTAATTTGATTTTTTAAATCAATCAAAGAAATGCAAAAGCTGGCACACATTTTTATCACCCCTTCAATATAGCCCCCAAATAAATAATTGAAGTGAGAACTGTTGATACATGGTCCTAATATCATTTTAAAACACGTCTCTCAGGTCCTTAAAATACTTACATTTTTGTACATTTCAGGTAGAAAATTAAGGCCTAAACGTTTTTTGACACTAGGCATGGGCCATTGAAAGTGCCTATGTGTATATATTTTGAAGAAAAAATATTATTTTGCTCAAACTTTCAAGCCTTTCTCTTTTTAAACGGTCTTTGTCTCAAACTATTTCATGTTGGTTTCCCATGATTTTGATTCAGGGTGACCTTGTAAAGTATTTATATTTTGTGCTTGAGAAGGTGTGGGAACCCTGTTAATATATGATGATATTATATGTTAATAAATAAATATATTTATAAAACGGACAAGTCAAATCAAGCAATCTGATTGGTTCTTAGCCATGATATACTGAGCGTATACCACGGGTAGAATTGTAGTTACTTTTCACAACAAGTCAGTATCCTACGGAGCCCCTTAGTGGACATGGAGAAGAACAAAAAAAAAAAAAAAATGTTTTGCAAGATATCGCAAAACCTTTGCGAGATCTCGCAATACTTTTGCGAGATCTCGCAATACTTTTCATTTAGTACTTCTTGGTCAGTTCGGCTGCTACGGCAACACAGAAACCACAACAATGGAGTGGTTCATCGATTTTACTTTGAGCTTGGCCTTAAATATACATATATAACATCAGTGCTTGGCAATAGGCACGGGTTTCACACATAGACTGTATATAAAGGGTTTCAGATAAGTGAAGACAGCTCAAGAGAACACTCAGAGCGAGGGGACATTCACGTCCCTCTGAGCTGAGTTATTGACAGATTCGAATTTCGCGGATCAATAACTCATGAACATAACGTTGTAAAAATACAAACAACATGACTTTACAATCATAGCAAGGTAGACAACAAGCTACAGAGTCGTTTTGATCAGAACAGTTCGATACGCGCCGTCATCCGAGCTAAACATCAAGAATTGGTCACAATCTGCAGCTGGAGGAGGGAGAGGAGTGCTTAGTCTACAAACTGCAACGGGGTTTTGCGAGATCTCGCAAAAGTATTGCGAGATCTCGCAAAGGTTTTGCGAGATCTCGCAAAACATTTTTATTTTTATTTTTCAAATAATTTATTTTTTCTTCTCCATGTCCCCTAGGGGGCTCCGTAGTATCCCTCCGCGTCTGAGAAAAACTGTATACAGTTGGGCTGAAAAGCAAACTGCCTAGGGCTTCGCGTCGGGCCGAACCACGCCCCTTAGCTGTGATATAATGAGCATATACCACGGCCTGTCGTGAGCTATTGCTTAAATATATTAAGGCTGTCAAATGAGTGCTTTAATTTCCAAAGAAGCTTTTCAACATGATGGAAGCAGATGAGAAAATGTTACTTGGCCCAGTGAACATTTACATTTAAAAAACGCCCGGATGGAACACTTCACTTCTGTCCCTTGTGAGCAGAGATGGGGTCGTTACTAAAAAAAGTAATATATTACATATGACATATTACTTTAAAAAAAAAAAAAGTCATATATTACACTACTTCGTTACTCTCTACATAAAGTAACTCGTTACTTTACTCGTTACTTTACTCGTTGCTTTACTCGCAGGGGCCGGCCCGCCCATCCCTACAGGCAGATCACGCAGACTGCGGCGCACCTACAGTGTGCGCGCCACAGTGTTGCCTCTGCGAGACTCCACTTGCACCCCCAATTACTATTGCATTAAGGAAGACATAACACAAGTCTTTCTTTTTATATGCTCTAAAATAGGCTACCAGCCTACCACAACAAACTAACAGTCTGTGAAACGTCAAGACACTAATTAATGAAACCAGTTCAAGACGCATTATTCTTATCATTCTTTATGAGCGCAGTAACGGTAAGGTATCTAATTACTTATGTATTTAGTATTCCATAACTTAGTAACAGAGATGGTCAAACTAAAGTGGTAGAGACAGAATTCCTACAATGAAGCAGGACATTGAACTGTTCACCCGTGAGAGGGCGATCAACAAAAGAGAGCGAGCGGCCCCGTTGAGGGAGTTTACAGATGAAAAGACTCATCCATGTTTATGCAGCACTGCACGTGGAGATGTGGTCTCGCAAGTCGCGCAGATTACATAGGCCTACATGTATATAAACCTGCGGCGGAAACCCCTCTAGTCTGTCAGTGAGTGTGATTATTTTATAGAAGTAACGCGTGCCGGGGCAATGTTAGTAACTGTAGAGTGATTACTAAATTGTAACGCGTTACACCCTACTCTGCTTGTGAGATACGTTTCTCACTTGCAGGTAACGTAGTGCAAGATAAGAGAACAGAACGTGCGGAAGCTAGTTTGTCTGGCTGAGGGAGAAGTGAGAGGCATTGTGAGGCTGATGGGTCCATTGAGTTACACTACATGTTCATAAATGAAACTGTTATGGCCATTGTTGCCACTGACACTTTTGCTTGGTTTTGTTAATTGTGTCATACAACATATTGTTTATTGTGTTGCCTAAGATAATTTGCCATACAAGATATTGGAGAAATAGTATTGAAATTAAAGACATGTTGACCTATACGTTTATAATGCCTACTCATTGATTCACTCATCTTCCAAAACCCATTTGAATATTTTGAAATGCTTCTCACGGCAAATATTGCTATATGGGATTAATTTTGATTAATTAATCACAAAGCATGTCATTAATTATATTATTTAATAATTTAAAAACTTTACAGCCTTTATATATATATATATATATATACTACAAGATATACTGTGCATATATTCATACATGATCTGTAGGTAACAGACAAGGCCCATTGGGTACATTTTAATGAATGAGTTCTAAAGAGGAGAGGCCCTCATATGAAACTTTTTAAGGGATCTGCAATGTTTTTAAAATATAATTAAAATATCTTAAAGGTCCCATGTCATGCTTTTCCGGTTATTGCCCGTCCCCTTGTGTGTTATGAAGGTTTTTCTGCATGTAAACGGTCTGCAAAGTCACAAACCCTCAAAGTACACCCTGTAGCGAGTAAAACTCTAACACAGAAAATACCTGTCTGTGCTGCCCCAGAACGCCTCGTTGGAGATTTCTCTTTTTCCATTGTTTTCTTCCTGGGTACTGTGACGTGCCCATACCCAAATAGACCAATCCATGGAGCCGTTACGTTACGTCCGCGGAGCCGTTAGGTTAAGTCGGTGGATTGGTCCCAATGGACTTCCACACACACTCAATCTTTCTCAGCTGCAGCTCCGCCGATTTCTCCTCCCTGAGACGGCGGGATGCGGCGAGGCTGTGAGTCGGTGTGTGAGCACACACACAAACTCCCAGGCTGTGTGTGTGTGTGTGTGTGTGTGTGTGTGTGTGTGTGTGTGTGTGTGTGTGTGTGTGTGTGTGTGTGTGTGTGTGTGTGTGTGTGTGTGTGTGTGTGTGTGTGTGTGTGTGTGTGTGTGTGTGTGTGTGTGTTGTGTGTGTGTGTGTGTGTGTGTGTGTGTGTGTGTGTGTGTGTGTGTGTGTGTGTGTGTGTGTGTGTGTGTGTGTGTGTGTGTGTGTGTGTGTGTGTGTGTGTGTGTGTGTGTGTGTGTGTGTGTGTGTGTGTGTGTGTGTAGGCTGGGTTTCACTGTGTCTCGCAGACGGCCACTGGGCTCATAGGG